ATAGTGCCTGGCGACTCATGGCAGTGCTTCCGTGCCTCCCCCTCCTCCTACCCTTCCTCCTCGTCCTCCCATCCTCGTGCTCCTGCACCTGCTGTTCATCTGCCTCCTTCTGTTCCTCCGCCTGCCAGTCTTGGAGTGGAGGCCTTCTTCATAATGAAGCCACTGCGGAGACCACCTCCTCTTGCCTCGACCCATACCCTCGCACTTCGCCCGTGGCCTCCCCAACCCCGTTTTTCGTTTCTCTTGCTTGTCTTCCCCTGTTCGCTCCTTATCGTCCCCTCCTGCACAATCACTGCTGCATCTTATCCTGTTGTCCTTCTCCTATTCTGTCCTGCGACACTCCCAGTGCGCCCTCACCTGGCCTTGCCTTCCCCCGCCCGCGGCACCCCACAGTATAGTTTTGTGCAGGGCTCGCCCCGCGCCGTTCCCACGAGCGTCTGTTCCACTCCTCGTCCACCTCGCACTTCGGACTGCGCTGCGCCCCTATCCCCCAAGTGGGCCCTCATTGATTCGCCGTTCCATGCTATTGACAGCGTCGCGTGGCATTCCGCATTTCCGCCGACACCCGCGACAACGTCATCATCACGCCAAGGATGCATCGCCAGAATTGAAGCGAAGCGAGGCGGGCCTTCATCTTGAAGATACATAGCCTTGAGGTGCACTTCCCCGACATCCATGGCACGTCGTGTCAAGTTCGGCTTCGCTGGAGGACCCCGTGGCGGGCTGGCTACGCGAGTGTTGTTAGCTTTCTCGTGTGTGCTAGGTCCTTGGGGGAATCCCTGCGGCTGAATCGGCGCAGCGGGCACAGCCAAACAGCACAGTAAGGACGGGCGGTAAGGATGCAAGGGCCTTGGAGGGCCATGTCATCGTCTTTCGAACGAGATTGGCCAGCGAACTTCGCTGAGGCTTGGCCGAAGGGGCAAGAATGAAAGGGGTAGCCTTGGAGTTGCTCATCCTTACTACAGTCACTGGCCTGACCTCAGGAACGATAAATAAGGAACGAAGCCCCCTTTTTGTCCAAGGAGTAACGCATGAGGAACGATGAATGATAGATAACGCATGAGGAACGATACATAACGCACGCAATCCTAAGGAACGACCGAGCCCCTTTTGAAAAGTACGTGCTCCTTGCTCGAGCCGCTGAACCTGTATGCGGGTTGACTTCAGCAAGCTTCCTGGTGCAATGGCACTGCGACGCCCGATCCGAGAGCACGAACAAAGGTCCTCCTCCTCCTCCTCCTCCTCCTCCTCCTCCTCCTCCTCCTCCTCCTCCTCCTCCTCCTCCTCCTCCTCCTCTTGGTGGGTCTGGCGCGGAGCCTTCTCCTCGACCGACCCCGGCATGCGCATCTCCACCGCGGGCCGCTGCGTGGGCCACAGGAAGTACATCCCCGCCCGGCGCTTCCCGCGCATGGAGGCCGCGAGCTGCTTGCCGACCTCGGCGCTCCCGAGCTCGCCTCCAACCCTGCCACCCAACGCCTTCCCCGGAACTAGAGTTTCATCTGGAGTCGTGTCGGGGATCTACTGACGCGGGTCAATCCAAACCCGGGTCAGGTCAGTCAGGCCTTGCAGGATCCTGCAAAATCCTGCAGGATCCTGCACCAAAACCCAGGTCAATGCACCCCTGGCTCTGCAAGATCCTGCAAGGTCCGGCGCTCTGACTGACCCTCGTTTGCATTGACCCCCGTCTCTTGAGCCCCGACCGTGGTTGACCGCCCCAGGGCTGGGAAACAGCCTTCAGAGGCTAGAGCGCTGAAAAACAGGGCCGTCGCGACTGTCTTCACGACGCCTGGGTCTGAAGGTTTCTGGCGCTCTCTCTCTCTCTCTCTCTCTCCCTCTCTCTCTTGAATACGTACCAGACCACCCCAACCCAACCCGAAGACCCGAATTTCGTGTTGGGGGCGGTTGCAGTCTTCATATGTGTTTTTTCGATAATTCCCGACACCCCCCCCACCCACTGGGAGTGGAGGGCAAGTTGGGGCTTTCGGGTTGGGTTGGGGTGGCTTGGTGGGTGGTGATCTCTCTCTCTCTCTCTCTCCTTCTATCTCTCTCTCTCTCTCTCTCCCTCTCTCCCTCTCTCTCTGCATCTCAGCCTCCACGGAGCCGCCTCCTGGGCTGGTGGTTCCAGTGGACCCTTGGACGGAGCACCAGATCCGATGTGCACCCCGCGCGCACACATATCTCGGCGGCGAGCGAGGGGGGGAAGTCCGAAGGAGGAGGCCTTCTCAGAAGGCGGCGGGACTTCTCAGAAGCCCTCGCGCCTTCCGAGAAGTGTCCGTGCCTTCGGGGAAGGCTCAGAAGACTTCGCAGATGGCCGGGGGACTTCCGAGCCTTCTGAAAAGGCCTTCTCCTTCTCACTTCCCCCCCTCGCTCGCCGCCGAATACCTCCAACATGCACCAGACCAGCACGCCACGGTCGGGCTCAGAAGCTCCGCAGGCCACCACGCCGATGCCGGACAGAACAGCGCGGCCCACTTCAGGGGCGGAGGAAGAGAAGAAGCAGAGGAGCCAGAAAGATAATTTTATCGGGTTGGGAGGACGGGTTGGGAAAAGATACGGGGCACGACCGAGTAAGAAGCACACTCGACATACGCGATCAGACGGATGATCTGATCATCTCTCCCAGCCCCATCCTCCCAGCCCGAGGATTGTCTTTCTGAAGGAGGTGGAGGGGGCGGAGGAGGAGGATTGTCTTGCTGAAAGAGGAGGAGGAGGAGGAGGAGGAGGAGGAGGAGGAGGAGGAGGAGGAGAGGAGCAAAGCAAACACCAGGATCCCGGGGAGGCCGCCGAGGCCTCCGAGGCCCGCAAACATTGAGGAGAGCCCAGCCGTCGGAGCTCGGGGCCACCCCTCTCGCCATCGCTCGGACGTCCCTCCCCCGTGCAGCTCTGTTCGGTGCCGTGCGTGTTCTTGTTGGGGCCTCGATGATCCAGGAGGCTCCTCGATGGTCCTCGCCGAGAAAAGGAAGTGCGCCGCCAGAATATGACAAGATCCACTGCCGATGGCTCGTGTCCCGAGGAGTCGGGGAGCGGCAGATAATGGATATCCACCGCGCCTCGGGCTCTCGGGGCACGACTCCGAAGCGGCGGATGTGGACATGGTCTGGCGGTGGACGACTGGCCATCGCTCGGACGTCCATTTCCTGTGCTTGTTTTGGTTTCGTGCGTTGTTTTTTCGCCAAATGATCGAGGATGCTCCTCGATGGTCCTCGCCGAAGGAGAAATGCACACGTCCGAGCGATGCCAAGACGAAGGCACACGCCCGAGCGGTGCGACGACCCCCGCAACTCCGAGGCAAGGCCTGGCCTCTCGGCGCCCTGCGCCTCAGGGAGCGCAGGCACCCGCGGTCGCCGACCGCGACCTCGCGCCGCCCCCCCTTGGAAGGAGGACGGCGCTCTGGCCGAGCAGGTCTGGGCCGCAGCGGCCTCGGGGCGGAGCGCCCTTCCTGGCGTGAGGCCCGGTCCCCCAGGACGTCGGCGCGGGTCTGCCGGCTTCGACGTCGGCGCCGGCGTGCTTCCGCCCACCGGGGCTCCAGGCTCAGCCGGGCCTAGACGAGGAGGAGCAGGAGCAGGAACAGGAGCAGGAGCAGGAGCACGAACAGGAGCATGAGGAGGAGGAGGAGGAGGAGGAGGAGGAGGAGGAGACGGGGGAGGAGGGGGAGGGGGAGGAGGAGAAGGGGGAGGAGGAGGAGGAGGAGGAGGAGGAGGAGGAGGAGGAGGAGGAGGAGAGGAGGAGGAGGAGGAGGAGGTGGAGGAGAAGGTGGAGGAGAAGGAGGAGGAGGAGGAGGAGGAGGGGAGGAGGAGGGGAGGAGGAGGTGGAGGATGAGGAGGAGGTACGTGCACTGCAGGGCGGATGATCCAGACGAAGCCCGGCCCGGCAAGAGCAGGAAGCACTGCTCTGGTCCACTGGGCTCGTGGGGCGGACGGCGAGGGCCAGCGTGAGAACGGGCGAGGAGGGCGGCGAGGGGGCGCGGGAGGGCTGCGAGGAGGAGGGCAGGCGCAGTGGCGAGGGGGAGGAGGACGAGGAGGACGAGGACAAGGAGGACGACGGCAAGGAGGAGGACGAGAAGAACGAGGAGGACGAGAACGAGGAGGAGAACGAGGAGAACGAGGAGGGCGAGAACGAGGAGGGCGAGAACGAGGAGAGCGAGGAGGGCGGCAGCGGCGCCGTGCCCCCTGGCACGTGCAGGCGTGGTAGACTGCCAGTGGCTGTCCAGGAGGGTTTCTGCAAGTGTTCTAGTCGGCGGCGCGCCCAGGGGGCGGAGAGTGCAGAGGGAGCGGGCCCTCCCGGAAGGCTCGGAGGGCCTCGGTCCCTCTGAGGAAGTCTCCCGAGCCTCCCCCGAAGACACAGAAGACTGCTCAGAGGGCGCGAGGGCTTCTGAGAAGTCCCACCGCCTTCTGAGAAGGCCTTCTCCCTCTGACTTCCCCCCGGGTCTCGCCGTCCTCCCTCTCATCGCGCTGAGTCCCGTGCACGCCCCCCACCCCCGTGAGGACCCCTGAGCGGCCCGAATCTTTCCCGATGCTCTTCAAGGCTCCCGAAGGCTTTCAAGACGGCCCAGGAAGGCCACTGAAGCCGCCAAGACGGCCCAACATTGCCTCAAGAGGCACGCAGCAGTCTCCAAGAGGACCCCGAGAGGCGCTATGGGGGCCCCACGAGGCTGTCAAATCGCCAAGGCCGAGAGGGCATCCGGGAAAACCAAGTCATTCAAAATCCCCAGGTGCTCGAACATGATGCGTGGCCCAGACCTGTCGGCTCAAGATGTTTGCAAGAGGTCTTCGGAGGAGCCCAAGACGGCCCAGGACAGCGACAAGACTGCCCAAGAGGGGCCTCTCACAGCCCGAGAGGGCCTACGCACAGGGGGCCCCAAGAAGCCCCCAAGGCTGCCCGGAGAGACGCCCAAGACGGCAGAGAGGGGCCCAGCACGGCCCACTGAGACGGCCCAGGAGTCCAAGAGCGTCCCCAGAAGGCCCCACAGGCGCCCAAAGGCAGCCCCGTCGCTGGCCCGGGCAGTCCCCGTGTGAGAGCCGCTCGAGAGACGCCCAACGAGCGCGCTGCCACGCATCGAGAGCGGTGCTTTGAAGAGACGCCGCCGGCCTGGCACGGCGGCAGGGCTTGCCGCAGGCAGGCCATCGACCTCGCCATCCCTCGCCCTGTTGATCTCAGCAGCAGTCTCACGATCGAGCTCTCAACCGATCCCACAAAATATCGACCTCGCCATCGATCTATGCGTCGATCGTGCTGTCGATCTCGGCATCGATCCCACCCTCGTCACCATCGAACTCACCATCGATCCCACTATCGGTCTCACTACTGGTCTCACGGTCGATCTCACTGTAGATCTCACGATCGGTCCCATAATCGATATCACTACCGATCTCAATATTGATCTGACTGTCGATCTCACTCGATTGCGCTATCGATCTCACTATCGATCTCACTATCGATCTCACTGTACACCACGGGACACCACGGGACGCCACGGGACACCATCTCGGGACACCACGGGACACCGCGAGACACCGCGGGAAACCACGGGACACCAAGGGAACCCATCACGGGACACCACGGGACACCGCGGGACACCACGGGACACCACGGGACACCACGGGACACCACGGGACACCACGGGACACCATCGGGATACGACGGCGGGACACTGCGGGACACCGCAAGACACCACGGGACACCACGGGACACCAGGGGACACCATCACTGGACACCACGGGACACCGCGGGACACGACGGCGGGACACCGCGGGACACCACCAGACACCACGGGACACCACGGACACCATCGGGGCACGACGACAGGACACCACGGTACACCCAGAGACACCACGGGACACCACGGACACCATCGGGACACCACGGCAGGACACCACGGTACACCCAGAGACACCACGGGACACCACGGACACCATCGGGACACCATCGGGACACCCCTGGCACTCGCCCGCCACGCGGCCAGGGGGCTGACATCTGTTCTCGCCGCGCCCTCGCCAGAGGAGGGTTCATTCCTCTCGCCCGCCCACGCAGCTTCGCCTCGCCCGCACGCACGACACGGACACGACACCGAAACCGATTTCCACGTCGACCTCACCCCCCCACCTCCGATGCTCGTCGTCTTTCACATCCTTCACGGGTTTCCCTCTTCTCCTTCGCACCATCGTTGCCCCCTCAGCTGACAGAGGAAGGAGGAGGGAGGATGAGCACACGGGGGTACATGCGCGTAGGACGCCCGAAGAGGACAGCCCTGGAACGGCTCAGAACGGAGCACATGTGAGAACTGGCGCGTGCAGGAAAGGAATAAGCACGGGACAACTGAACACATAGATTAACGCTAGACCTGTCAGCCAATGGACATCCAGAAGAATCTAGCAATTTAGTACCCCATTGCCATTCGAAACATGACATCCGCAATGGCGTCAGGTTCTGCTCATCCGCGGTTCGCATGCACCAGCAAAACGCTGAGGATATATGGAGATGCGGATAGCTGCGCGTCAAGACTGTGTGCCACCGTGCGTGCCCTTACATGTGTGCCTCACGCATGCTCACATCCTACGCATCACATCAATCAAGCGTCGGCCTGATGCCGAGAAAAATGTGGGGTGGGCGAGACCGAAGCCAGGTCGGACGTGTTCCGGATGAACGCGCTGGAAGCCGATTTCAGTGAAGCCTTCGAACAAAGCACACAGCAGGTGGCACACTCCTCCGTCTCCTTCGTGGCAACCTCTTGCAGGTGCACGGGCGCCCCAGAAAGAACCACCTCCTCCACTCAGAGTCAGAAGCCCGTGCGCTGTAGGTTCCCCTCCAACCATTTTGCACATGCATGGGCGCCCCGACAGGAACCACCCTCTCCTCCATGAGCGGCTCAGACTAGTTCAACCCCTTCAGTTTTGGTCCACTGCTCCGAGCCACTGTGCACGAGCACCACTCTGTAGGCCGATTTGTCAAAATGCCTCGCCACATCTCTCCTTGTTTTGTTGAAGCTGTTGCACATACAGCTCAAAAGGTGCAGCGAGGTGCCCCTCCAAGTGGAGAGAGCGGGGAAGGAGAAGACCGGTTGCGGAAGGGGGAACAATGAGGAGTCCGCTCGATGATCCCAGCCACACGCAATCGAGCCCGATAACGCGAGCGCCTGGAAAAGGGAACTGCCCATGCACCGCCCACGTCTTCTCCCTACCAGCGCCGCCGGCGCGTGCTCAGAGGCGCTGAGCCAGGGACTCGGAGCGAGGATCGAAGCGAGGCGGCAAAAGAAGGGGGTGAAGCCCGTCGGAATCCGCGGGTGGACCCCGCGGCAGCTGTGGAGCCACACCCTGCTGAGGCAAGCCTCCTGCTAGGCCCGTCCTGGCCGCGAAGACATATCCGTGGGGACCCGAAGACATGGGCGCCCGCAGCGGCCCACCGCTCGTGCACGGTCGCTCGCGCGCGAGAGCGGGAGGGCTTCCCGGTCGGCGCCTGCACTGAGAGCGGCGATACGCAAGAGTGACCCTGGGTAAGAGTGACCTTTGGTGCGCGACTTTTCGGGGGGCCGCGGGGGGGCCAAACCTGGGCGCGCAAGCAGCTGCCACTGCTTCGTTTTTTCAGCCATCCGGGGACCCATCTGTGCCCGCACCACAGGTCACTCCGGCGAAAGGTCACTCTTACGTCTAGCCGATGAGAGGGGATGGCAGCCAACTTCCAGAGGCGACAGGGATCCCGGGTCCCTGGTCCTAGAGGTTCAGGAGGCTGGGTTCAAGGGCTGTTGGATTCACGGTTGCGGTCAGGTCCACCGCCTCGGGAGCAATGACGGAGTCGATAATGGAGGGCAGAAGCATAGATTCAACGATCGAACAGAGAGGAGCATGGAAAGCGGTCAGAGAGGAGTGGTCAGAGCGGAGCGGTCAGAAAGCAGAGCAGAGAGCATGTGTTAGAAAGCATGGAGCAGAGAGGCGAAAGCAGAGCATTGAGCTCCTGGAAAGGATGGACACAGAGTATAGAGCAGGGAGTGGGGAGCATCGTATTCGCCATATTTTGCTTATGCCCACAACCAGCAGACTGCATTCACGTCTCTTTCAAACAACTGGCTGTGGTTATCCCGGGTATGATATTGATAGCGCGGCCAATCTGTCAACTATGTTAGATATAGTCTTGAAGTAACATGCGTCATCCCCTCAAGACTGGACTGCTATTCAGTGTGGCAGCGCATGGTTCTCACATCATACGTCACAGTAGGTTGACCAGCGGCAACTGTAAAGCATTGCTGCCCAAACGCGTCCTGTGCACCTGGTACATGCCTGTCTTCCCGAAGCTCTCGTGGGGTGAGCCAGGGCCCTCTAGCATGTCCAACAGCATTTCCTGCAGAATGGACAAGCAAAAACAAAAGGAACGTCTCACTCTGAGCATCAGCATGCACGGTAATTACGAACATGTGCAACCCAATCCAAAGACACCCAACAGGCGGGCGAATGCCTTCGGCAAAGCCCCTCCACCCACACAAAAACAAAACCTCGGTGAACAATCAGCACAGAACGATTCTTCCGTGTCTGGCCCATGAACGAGTACATCTGCGCCCAGGGGTCGTGAAAGGGCTGGGACAAACTCAGCCTCGCCCGCGCGCCGCTCATGATTCCTCCATCGGCAGCACATCGCAGACCATCAGGGTGGCTCGCGGTGCGCCTGGCCCCGAGGAGGTCACACTCGGTCAAAAACTCGCGCAGGCACGAGGAGCTCGGGCAGCGGTGCTCGCTTCCATTGCACCGCGCGCTGCGGCCCCGGACGGTCGGAGCAGAACCGGCACTCTCTCCAGAAGCCGTCCCCCCTGTCCGGAGGCCTCCGAACGGGGCTTTGGGGGAGGGGGGTGTTCCAGAGAGCCCCCCAGTGGGGCCTCGGAACCTCGTCAGAGCAGGGGGTGCGAAGCCCCTGGGGGACCCCTCCTGGAAGACCCCCTCCCCCAAAAAATCCCCTTTGGAACCCTCCGGCCTGCCACGACGAGCAGCCTCCCGCCCGGAACGAGCACGTTGGCAACCGTCGGGGACTACGCTGCCAAGTACTGGCCTCCTTCACGGCTCCCCCCCATCGACGGGCAAGCATGTAGTCGACCACAGTGTCCGACCAGATGGCTGCTCGAAAGACCGACGAGCATCGACAATGTGTAACGTCGTCCGATTGTCGCATGCTGTCGCGAGCACGAGAACTCTCACGTCGGGCGATTTGGGTGGATCACCCCTGGCACGCCACGCATCGCCCTCTCCATCGTCTTTACGGGGTGGCTGCCACTTCCATTTCCCCGACCCTCGAGCTCCGAGAATCCCCGAACATCTCCGAAAGCCACCCTCTCCCACCTGCCCTCCCCCTGCCCTCCCCGAACATCTCCTCCCCCTGCCCTCCCCCTCTTCCTCCAAAATCCTGGGGGGGGCCTCCTGAAGCCACGGAAGGGCCCCCCAGAAAGGTCCAAAAGCCCCGAGCCTCGCTCGTCGTACCTCGAGGCCGCCTCGCCAGCAGAATCCCCAGTGGGCCTGCCAGTCGCCGTCATTCGGGGTGGGTGCAGGGAGAGTGCGAGACCACGCGCGGCCTGTGCCTTCGATGCCTCTCGGGCGCCCTCCCAACGGCGACTTGATGTCACATCTGTCCGCCGCTGTGCGTTCGATTTGGCTGTTCTACCCAGTTTGCGCCCCTGTCCACCCCGACCCTTCCCCGCCCCATCCTTTCCCCCCCCCCCTCCCCCACGCTTCCACCCCGCCCCCCTTCCCCACCCCTCCTCCCCGCCACCCACCCTCCCTCCCCTGTGTTCCCCTTGCCCCCCTCGCCCCCCCACCCCTGGCTCACCCTCCCTTCAAAACCTCCCTGGGGCGGGCGGGGTCCAGGACTCGTTTTGCGAGGACCTTTGCCGCTAGACCACCCGGGTGACAGGGAGCCACAATCCCAAACATCAGGTGCGGTGCGCTCATTGGGCTGCCCATGTGGGCGGCCGAGTGAGCTAAGTCTAGGAGTGAGATTCGAAAGCAGCCACGGGCAGGGTTGAGGGCAGGGTGGCAGTGCTCTGTGCCAGATCCGTGGCGACGACTGGACGGCGCACCGCCCAGTACGCAAGGTGCAAGCCACCATGCTGCCTGCGGAAGATCGGCGGATCGGCGTCGGCCGTCGGGCAACGAAGATGCGTACTCCGGGTACCTCAATAAGCGTGTGGGGGTACCCCCCGACGGGGGTCGACCTCGCCTCGTCGTCGGGCCGCGACGGGGGCCGGAGCGCCTTCGGCGCGCGGTGGCTGCCCGCGACGGGGGTCGACGTGGGGCTGTCGGCGGGGGTGACGCCCCCCCCGACGCTCATTGAGAAGCTCGGAGTACACAACCTGATCCAGCCCTGTGCAGAGTATCGACCGCAACGAATAAGGCCATGAGCGCCATGTGCAGACTGGGGGCCCAGAGAGCGGAACCACGACACTGCCGTACAACGGGCAGCACGGGGCAATAAGAAGGGGGAGCGGATGAAGGATTGCAAAAAAAAACCCGGATTGCAAAAAAAAACCTCCGAAGGATTGCAAAAAAAACCTTCGTTCGAAGGATTGCAAAAAAACCCTTCGTTCCAGGGATTGCAAACAAACCCTTCGTCCAGGGGGCCACGTCGCTGCAGCAGGCATCAAGACAGTCGAGACAAGCTCTCCCTTTTATTACGAAATCTGGAGTACAAAAATATGCAAAACATCGTCCCCTTTTGCCCGATGTAAGGGTAATCCTTGGTGTACATGTGTGCGACAGTCGACGACGAACGATGATGCCAGAATGCCAGGGTGCCAAGACGCCAGGGGTGCCAAGGTACCAGGACGTCAGGCGGCCAGAAGCCAGGATGCCTTGGTTTGACAGGACGGCAAGGTGCCAGGACGCCGGGAGTGCCAGGACGCCGGGGTGCCAGGATGCCAGGAGGCCAGCATCGCAAGATCCCAGGATACCTGTGCAACCTGTGCGGCCTGTGGGATATGCTGGGCCTGTGGAACCTGTGGAACATGTGGGACCCGCACGACTTGTGGGATCTTTGGTGCTTGTGGAATATGTGCGACTTGCGCGAACTGTGGAAGATGGGGGGCCAGTGCCACCTGTGGGACAAATGAGAATTGTGAGTCCTGTGGGAACTGTACGACGTGTGCTATCTGCAAGGCCACTGCAACCTGTAAGGCCTGTGGGACCTGTGCGATCTGTGGGGCGTGTGCGACACGCGAGGCCTGTGGGACCTGTGGGACAGAATTGTAGGGCCTGTGCCTGGATGCCAGGGTGCCATGATGCCAGGGATGCCAGTGCCAGGGATACTAGAGATACGAATGATGCCAGAAAGTCAGGTGTGCAAAGGATGCGACCTCAAACTCAATGCCTGGAATTGAATCCCGGAATAACCCGAAGTGGCTTACAGGTGGCCCAAAAATCGGTCCCAGGAATGGACTTCGGGGAGCACGAGCAGGCCGAAATGGCTTACAGTTGGCTCCGAACGCTCAAGATCAGCGCCAGGGTCCGAACCCTGGGAGCACGAAGAGCCCGAAATTCGGCGACGCACTGACCCGGGTCAGTGCAAACCCGGGTCAGTCAGGCGTTGCAGGACCTTGCAAAATCCTGCCGGATTCTGCAGGATCCTGAGCTCAAGCCCGGGTCAATGCTCCCCTGGCTCTGCAGGATCCTGCATACTCTGGCGCTCTGGCTGCCCCCGTCTGCATTGACCCCCGTCTCTTGAGCCCCGAGAGATGGTCTGCAGTTGGCTCCGGACACCCAAAGCCAGTCCCAGGAATGAATTCTGGGAGAGCCTGAGGTGGCCCACAGTCGGCTCCGGACGTGCCAATGCATTCCCAATGTAACATTCTGGCAGCACGAAGAACCCAAAGTGGCTTACAGGCTGTTCTGGACATTCTCAAGGTCCCAGGGGCGGAGTTCTGGGAGCACGAAGCTCGAAGTGGCCTGCAGCTGGCTCCAGACACTTGAAACCACTTCTCGAAATGTCTAGCGACTCGATGATCACGAAACCATATGGTTTTACGGGCTTTGTATGGCCGCCAAGGATTACTTGCATGAGGTGAGGGCCCTATATGTAGGGGGCTCCCGCTCGAGGCGTCCTCGCAATCCCACCAGCCCTCTGGGCGCAGGTGGTCTAGAGCGTTTCCTTTTCCAACCTCCTTCCTTTCCCTGCTCGGGAGGTTTACCTCCCCCCCCTCCCTGCGTCTGGACGGGCTCCCACGCGAGGTGTCAGAGGGCCCTTTTCGGACCAAGATGGCTCCAAGAGGGCTTCAGAGAGTGCGAGATGGCCTCCAAGATGGCCCAAGATAGTGGTAGATGGCTCAAGATAGCCTCCGACACGCATCCAAGAGCCCTCAAGACGGCCGGAAGACGGTTTCAAGTGCCCTCCGAGCCCTCCGAGGACTCCCCCAAGAGGCCAACATGTTTCAAAAAACCTAAGGAGCATCAATGTTGTTTGCCTTCTCTCTTTTTCGCCTCCGATGGGATGGCCCCAAGACGGTCCAAGATAGTCCCACGAGGGGCACAAGAAGGCCCCAAGACGGCCCCAAGAGCGCCCAAGAGCGCTTCAAGAGCGGCCCAAGAGGGCCCCAAGACGGCATTTTGGAGCCTCCGAGGGGGCGATGGGAATTAGAACCCCCCATGTGTTTGATCAATGCGGCCTAAGACGGCCCCAAGAGGCCTCCCAGACCACCCCCAAGAGCCCCAAGAGAGTTCCAAGACCCCCCCCAAGAGCCCCAAGAAGGTCCCGGCATCCAGAGGACCCCAAGAGGACCCCAAGATGACCCCAGGAGAGCCCCAAGAGAGCCCCAAGACGCCCCAAAAGAGCCCCAGGAGGACTCCAAGAAGGCCCTAAGAGGACCTCAAAAGAGCCCCAAGAAAGAGCTCCAGGAGGGCCCCAAGAGGGCCCCAAGAGAACCCCAAGAGAGCCCCAAGATGGCTCCAAGTTTCGAAACGCACGCGAGCTTAAGATACGAATCAGTGCAACAGCCATTACGAGTCACCGAAACACCCCTCACCCCTCATCAAAGCACCGTAGTTTGCACTGCGTTCCATCTTAAGCTTCAATGCGGGAAGCTATGTGTGATCCTTGTTCCCGAAAACGGCTGCACGACTGCATGCACCCTGTCGCCCCTGATTCACGTTTTCCTCTGCTGATTTTTTCTGGATGGGCTGGTGGGGATACTTTTTTGGTTCGCGGCTCCAAGGCGGATGACAGGGAGCAAAGACAGTGTCCGGGGCGTGTGACGATGTAAATTGGCCACTGAGGCACATGCACGTGCAAGGGACAAAATGACCCACATTAAAACGCAAGCTGCGTTGGCAGGAGACCGACCCAGACATCCCAACAGGTGGGGACGCAGGCGCGGCGACCGGCGGTGGAACGGAAGGGAGAAGTCGCCCCTTCGGCGCCAAACTCCAGCCGAACCACATTCGGTGAGGCCAGGAGGCGGGGGGGAAGAAGAGAGCGAAAGCGAGCGACTACCACAGGCTCACTGCGGCACCCAGAGTCAGCACTGGTGCGGCGAACGAGGCCTGTCACATCAATGCACACTGTGTCTGAAGGGTGGCAGATCCGCGACAACATCGCAAAGCGGAAGGAAACCACTGGGGTGCGTTCACGAGGCTAGGCCACCTCCGGCTAGTGCCAGTGCGTGCACATAGTATCCGGCTCACGCAGTTCGGGGGCACAACGATGCAAAGTACTGGCGTGAGCTGATTGCACACTGCACTGCCGGGGGGAACGACCACGAAGTGCAAAAGGCTGAGCTGGTGGGGATACGCGAAACGTCAAGAATTCACTCACAGACGAGGCTCCCGCTCAAAAATACCTCAAGAGGAGTGCGTGCGTGTGTAAGTGTGTGAGGGGGTGCGATGGTGATGATGATGATGATGATGATGATGATGATGATGATGATGAGGTGGATGATGATGACGATAAATGGTGATGGTGATGATTACGGTGATGATGGTTGTCGATGGTCATGATGGAATGATTGTAATAACAATGCTGATGACGGTGATGACAGGAAAGTGAAGATGATGATGGTGATGATGCTGATAATGATGACGATGATGATGATGACGATGATGATGATGATGATGATGCTGATGATGATGATCACAGCGATGATGATGGTGATGGTGATGGTGATGATGATGAGAGGGAAAGGAGAAGAGGAGGAGAGGGTGAGGTGAATGCTCTTTTCTGCGAGGGGGTGTCAAGATAAGAAAAGATACCCACTTAGGAGGTGGGGAAAAACTACACAAACAAAAGCATGCGATACGCATATGGGGTCGTCTCCTCGTTCGCCACGTTGTGGCTGCGGGAGCGCTTGTTCCTGCGCCGCAGAGATAGAGAGAAAAGCAGACAGAAAAGCGGGAGAGACTCGGGCAGTCTACCGAGGCGTTGGAGGCGCGAGTCCCCCCCCCCCTTTCCTGCAGGCATGAAAGCGCTGGTGTGTGCAGCTGCGCCTCCACTGGGACAGCCCAGACCGCCTCCTCCTCCTCCTCCTCCTCCTCCTCCTCCTCCTCCTCCTCATCATCATCATCATCATCATCATCATCATCCTCCTCCTCCTCCTCCTCCTCCTCCTCCCCTCCCCCCTCCTCCCCCTCCTCCTCCTCCTCCTCCTCCTCCTCCTCCCTCCCCCTCCTCCCTCCTCCTCCCTCAGCTGCGCCTCCTCTGGGACAGCCCAGACCTCCGAAGTCGCATGCATCAACGTGGGCCCCATATCATCTCGACCCAGTCCCCAGGGCCGGGTCTCCCTCGCGGGTCCGTCCTCGTGCCCTGGAGCGGCCCCCCCCGAGGCAGACCGCTGTGCCTCAGCTCCAAAATGTCAGACCCCAGATGATCCACGAGAGGCGTTCATTCATTCGGTTTGGCCTAGGAAGCCCAAGAGGGGGTCCAGCTACAGCGGGATGGCGGCAACAAATTCGCTGGCACTGAGGTACCTGACGCGCCCGTGCAAGGGGAGGGGGAGGAGGAGGAGGAGGAGGAGGGGGAGGGGGAAAGGGGAGGGGGAGGAGGAGGAGGAGGGGGGGGGAGGAGGAGGAGGAGGAGGAGGAGGAGGAGGAGGAGGAGCAGACGGCAGACTGGCGTCTCGGAATGTGTTCGGAGACCGCGGCGGCTCATCTGCGGCACTTGTCGCATGCAGAGGTGGTGAGCTTGGCATGGAGTGCTTCGTCGACACTGCACGCGCGCTGCAGATGCAATGCACGCGGACGAAGCACTGTACTCCAGATTTCGTAATAAAAGGGAGGGGGTCTGGACCCTCCAAGACAAGCCATTTCAGACCTCCCCCGTGGGAGAACCCTCCAAAAGATCGTCCCCAGCCCCCCAGGCCCTCCAAGATAGCCTGGAAGAGAACCCCCCCCGAAATGAGACCCCCCTCCCTTTATTACGAAATCTGGAGTACATGTACTGTTGTCTTGCAAACGCATTGCGCCAGAAAGTTGTGTTGCACTGTGTTGCACAGATCGCACTGCCCACAAGAATCGAACACAACACTTGCTCCTTGGAACAGCGCACGCCTCAAAGCCACTGCGCCCCCCCAAGTGTACTGCAATGTGTTGCAGCTGGCACGCTGCGTTGCAGTGCTGAGATGGCCGATTCCGACGGCGGAATCGGAGACCCCCTCGCTACGAATTGGCGGGCGTTGGCACATCCAACTGGCACGCAGCCTCAAAAACACAGCAATACGAATTCGGAGCGAGAACTGCATTTTTGGCAAGCACGCCGCGGGAATGCGTCACTGCAGCGACTCAGACCCGAACTCAAAAAGCACCACTTTTCACGGACCCCCGACGACATGTTGTGTTTGTTCGTGACGTCGACCCTCAGAGGTCTCGACACATTCCCCGTGACAAGTGTTCATCCCGAGTCGTTTTCAGGCGGTCCCACGGCCTGGTAAGGCCCCCTGAGAGGCCGAATAATGGCGAACACCCCCCCGTAGTGTTTTTTCATGGCCCGAGGGGGCCTGGGTTAGATGGACCCTATTTTGGACTGCCCAGATTTGAACCGCAGGCGAACCTCTTGCCACGCGGGTCCAGCGAGGCGCTATCTAGCCAGAATTTCGAAGCGAAACCAGTCGATCCGACGAGAAGCCACCCGAAAGTCCAAAGAGGCACAATAACTCACCAACAGAAACCGAGATCTGAAGCACACCCCGCACACTCCGATTCCCCAACCGACACCTGCTCCCACGCCTCCACGGCCCGCCACACTTTTCGTACCTCCTCCTCCTCCGCCTCCTCCTCCTCCTCCTCCTCCTCCTCCTCCTCCTCCTCCTCCTCCTCCTCCTCCTCCTCCTCCTCCCCTTCCTCCTCCCTCCCCCTCGTCGTCCTCATCCGTCTCCACCTCCCCCTCCTCCTCATAAAGAGGATGATGGAGAATGAGGGAGGGATAAGAGGACGATGATGATACTGATGATGATGATGATGATGATGATGATGATGATGATGATGATGATGATGATGATGATGATGATGATGATGATGATGATGATGGTGATGATGGTGAAAATGATGACGACGACGACGGCGACGATGATGCTGCTGATGATAGTGGGTGATACGGATGATGATGCTGATGATGATGCTGTTGATGCTAATGCTGATGCTGATGCTAATGCTGATGATGCTGATGATCAGTATGATCATGATGATGATGGTGATGATCATGATGGTGATGATGAAGATGATGCTGATGATGATGATGATGATGATGATGGTGGTGATGATGATGATGGTGATGGTGATGATAATGATAATGATGATGATGATAATGGTGATGGCGATGATGATGGTGAGGAGGAGGAGGAGGAGGAGGAGGAGGAGGAGCAGGAGGACAAGCAGGAGGAGCAGGAGGAGCAGGAGCAGGAGGATTGATGATCTAGGTTTTCGTGCGTTGTTGAACCGTTGCGGGGGGGGGCCTTCAGAGGATGAAGATGAGGAGGAAGAAGAGGAGGAAGAGGAGGGGAAGGAGGTGGCCGGGAACGAGAATCGAGGGTCGGAGTTTGGGACGTCTTTAGGCCTGTGAGGGCGTCCTCGACGCCACGGCTCGGTTTGTCTCGATATGCTGGTCGGAACGCGCTCCGAGACAGGTCCAGCGAGGCGAATGTGAGAGAGGAGGAGGAGGAGGAGGAGGAGGAGGAGGAGGAGGAGGAGGAGGAGGAGGAGGAGGAGGAGGAGGAGGAGGAGGAGGAGGAGAAGAAAAGAGGACGCGAGGCTGCTCGGACTTCGTCGTAAAGCCTCGCCGAGGGCAAACCAGAGAACACGAGAGCCAGAGGGAAAGGCAGAGGGCGGGGCCAGAGGGAAGCTGCCCGACAGCGACGGATCGGCCCTCCGCGACCCCCAGACACCCCCTGCCCGACATATTTGTTCCAAGACGGCCCCCGGCAGCCCCGACCCGCTCCCGAGGCTGCCTGCGGGCGGCCCCCGCGGCCCGGCAGGCGCCCCGGGAGGCCGACGAGGTGCCCTGGAGCTCCGCCCAGCTTCTTCGACGACGCCGGAGCCGGAGGCCTGGGCACCTCGTCCGGGCCCGGGGGTCGAGGCTCCGCCCCCGCGCACGTCCAGGGGCGCCGCCATGCTGCCCCGCGGAGCACGGAATCCAGAGCGAAGGGGCTGTTCTTGCCACGGGCCAGCCTGGGCCCGACCTGGGCCTGAGGAGCGACCCGAAAGCCAGAGCCCCTCCTGAGACGGAAGTGGTCAGTGTGGGAGCGTCTTGACCGTGTGTCCTTAGAGGCCTCCCAGATGGGGTCCGAGTAGATGGGGTCGGAGGATCGCGCCGCATCGGCGACGTCGGCGACACATCGGCGACGTCGGCGTGGATAAAATCGGGCCCCACACCGAGCCGCACCGGCGGTGCATCGGCGATGCGGCGCGATCCCCCGACCCCATCTACCCCGACCCCATCCGAGAGGCCTGTCGGGGATGGACAGACCCCCCTTTTGTGAAACGTGGTTTAGTGAAAACGGCCTCGGGCCCAAACCTGGCGGGCGCAAGCCTGGAAAATAACGGCCACGGCGCCCTCTCGAGAACCGAAAACGGACAATTCACTAATCGACGTGTCACTGTTGGGGGTTCTGTCCATCCCCGGGCCTGGAATCTTGACTGTGCGTCCTGGAGCCATACGTCACCGGGTCGACGTTCTGCGGCCCCCCTCCCCTGGCGGCCCTCCCCGCTCGGTCTTCCAGTAGTCCCACCAGCGCACCACGAGCAGGGAGAGCTCGGCGGGCGCGTGCGGCGACGACATGGGCCGCACCAGCTGGCGCTTTACCTGCGCAGGGCCAGGCGGGGGGGGGGGCCGGGGAGGGGCCCACGAAGAGATGTGGGAGGAGGGGCGGAGGACGACGAGGTCAACGACAAGGAGCGAGCGAGCGCGCGATGTGGGTCCAGCGGGACCAGCCCTACGAGGGCATCGCGGGGGGGCCAGGGCCCTCAGAAGACGTGTTGCGAGCAGAAATCGGAGAGATGGACGTCGGGGAAAGAAGCAGGAACTCGACCCCGTTTCTTGCTCCTCTTCTTCTTGCTCCTGGTCAACGACGAGGAGCAAGAAGAGGAGGAGGGAGAAGAGAGGAGAAGGGCGAAGAGGGAGGAGGAGGAGCGCAGGACAGACCCAAGCGACTCGAAGTGGCCACCGAGGAGACTCCCAACAGAGACGCCACAAAGCTGGAATTCCACTTGCTCTACAAAATATTGCACAACAAACTCTTGGATTGTATACATTAACACACATGTGGATCCATACGTATGTATGTATGTATGTATGTATGTATGCATGTATGTATGTATGTATGTATGTATGTATGTGTGTATATATATATATATATATATGTTTGTATGTACGTATATATGTATGTATGTATGTATGTATGTATGTATGCATGTATGTGTGTATGACTGCGTGTGTATGTATGTATGTATGCATGTGTGTATATGTATGTATGGATGCATGCATGTATGTATGTATGTATGTATGTGTGTATATATGTATGTATGTATGTGTGCATGTGTGTATGAATGTGTGTATGTATGTTTGTGTGTATGTGTGTATGTATGCATGTATGCATGTATGCATGTATGTATGTCTGTATGTATGTATGTGTGTATGTATGTATGTATGTATGTATGTATGTACGTATGCAGGTATACACGCATGTATACAAGTATGGATATATGCATGCGTGTATGTATGTATGTATGTGTATGTATGTATGTATGTGTGTATGTATGTATGTGTATATGTATGCATGTATGTGTGTATGTATGTGTGTATGTATGTAGGTATGTATGCATGTATGTATATATATATATATATGTGTCTGTATGTATGTATGTGTGTATGTATGCTTCTATGTATGCATGCGTATATGCATGTATGCATGTTGTATGTATGTATGTATGTATGTGTGTATGTTTGTATGTATGTATGCATGCATGTATAGATGTATGCATGTTGTATGTATGCGTGTGTGTATGTATGTATGTGTGTATGTATGTATGTGTTTATGTGTGTGTATGTATGTATGTACGTATGCGTGTATGCATGTATGCATGTATGTATGTATGCATGGATGTATGGATGTGTGTGCGGATGTATGTATGTATGTGTACATGCACGCATGCATGTATGTGTGTATGCAGGTATGGATGCATGCATGTATGTATGTATGCATGCATGTATGCATGTATGTATGTATGTATGTGTATATGTGTGTATGCATGTATGTATGTATGTATGCATGTATGTATGGATGTGTGTGTGTATGTGTGTATGTGTGTATGTGTTTATGTATGTATGTGTCTATGCAGGTATGTATGTATGTGTGTGTGCATGTATGTATGTATGTATGTATGCACGTATGTGTGTATGTATGTATGTGTGTATGTATGTAGGTGTGTGTATGTATGTGTATGTATGTATGTTTTCATGCATGTATTCACGTATGTATGTATGTGTGTATGTGTGTATGGATGTATGTATATGTGTGTGTGAATGCGTGTATATGTATGTGTGCATGCATGCATGCATGTATGCATGGATATATGCATGTATGCATGTACGTATGTATGTATGTATGTAGGTGTGTGTATGCATGTATGCATGTATGTATGTATGTGTGTATGTATGTATGGATGCATGTGTATATGTATGCATGGATGGATGTGTGTATGTATGTATGCATGCATGCATGTATGTATGCATGTATGTATGTATGTGTGTATGTATATATATATATATATATATATGTGTGAGCGTATGTATGTATGGATGCATGCATGTAGGTGTGGGTTCGTATGTATGTATGTGTGTATGTATGTAAATATGTACGTAGATAGGTGTGTGTATGTATGCATGCATGCATGTAAGTATGTATGCATGTATGTATGTATGTATGTATGTATGTATGTATGTATATGTCTGTATGTATACACATACATGTGTGTGTTCGCACACACACACACTCAAGAAACAAGCTCGAGTTTCGCGCATGCCCGCGCTCAGTGTCTAGCAATATCCTGCCCTTTACTGCTCACAACTGCATGCACCTGCGCACCCACAAATGGAACAGGAATTGAAAACAAAGCAACGGGATCGCGGACCGAGCAGAGACGTGCTACAGAAAAGGGTAGATCGATGGGAATGCAATGCGAAACCATTCGATTGAATTATTGGAAAGACCAACATTGGCCCAAACATGTAGGGCTCCAAAAGTTTCACTCATTGTGATGGGTGGTTGGGGCGTTGCTTGGAGATCTCTTGTGGCCGTCTTGGAGGGATCAGGGGAAGCAGCATCCAGAAAGAGGAGGAGGGGGAAGAAGGGATGTGGGAGAGGGGTGTGGGAGAGGAGGGGGCAGGAGAAGGGAGGCAGGAGGGGGGGAAAGAGGAGAGGAAACTGTGAGGGGCCTCCCTCGAAACGACTTCACTATTTGGAAAAAATTGGCAGGACAATCGCGTCCGGGAGCGCCCTGGAGGCGCAACGAAGGCACCAGCAAACCACGGTAGAATAATGGCATAACCATGGCAAGGTAGGACCTAGGGCAGAAGCGTTCTGGAATGCTTGCCGCGGGCAGCTAGATACCTGCGCAATGCGCTTCGAATAAGCATCGTAGAAGACTGGCACAAGACTAGCGGACCCAAGACAGAGTCATCCTGGAACCGTCTCGATGCGGATGAATGACCTAGCCACCGCCAAGCCACGGACCCAAAATCCGTTTGCCAAACGACACCCCTAGTCAACAGATGGGCCAGCCACTCTGGAAGCTTTTCTTGTTTGGACCACACACGCGCGGCAACGCAGCTGACACGCCACAGCCTAATCGACGCAGCTCGAGCAACGACCCAGTATCACGTCGCCCAACCTACGCCTCCCCTTGAAGACGAGGAGATCCTCTGACAGGTGTCTGGAAGCTTAGAAACTGCCCGCTGCCTCCACTGGTGAAAACAGGGGCGGCGTGGCAGGCCGGCCGATGCGTCGATAAGTGCACGCTGCCCCAGTCCAGTATTCTTGACTCTCCACACGTCCTACACACAACGCAAAAAGAGCAGCACTAAGCATAAGAGCAGCACTAAGCATACGCCGACTACGCTCGCTTGAAGCCCCAGCCAGCAGCCTACTGCATGCCGTGAACAGGGCTGCATCCAGGTTGCGATCAGAGGGACGGAGGAAATACAGGGCCCCTCTCAGTGGGGTGAGGGAAAGTCCGCCGGCCCTGGTTGCCAGGGTATGCGGTGTACGAATTTTTTGGCTCTACCCCCTCCCCTGATCCCCCTCCCAAGAGATCCAAAATCCATTAGCAAGGGGGGGGGGCAAGCTCCTGAACGCACCTCCCAGGTGCTCCACGCTCAAGCATCGCCGACAGGGCCCTCGATGCCTGCGCAGATCCTGGAGATGCCTCCAATGGTGCCCCAGATGGTCCTAGATGACTCCCTACGCAGCCCAAGATATCCCACGACAGCCTCACCGTGTCCCCGTGATGACCCCAAGAGGTCGCAAGATGACCTCGCAGAGAGCTCCAGCGAGGCAAGACTCGCTCGATTTCCTATTTGGTATAAAAACCTATGCTCCCAAAGCAGCTCTTGCACTCAGGAGCTCGTGCTGCGGTCTCCAGCGAAGAACAGGGGGCATGGCCCGTCGTGAATAGAGCCCACGGGGTCCGTCCAAAATCAGGGTGGGCGACAGCGGGAGGGGGGTAGCAAACTTGGGGTTAGCGAGTCGATTTCGCATAGCCATCTCGTTCGGTCGCCACGAGAAGCCCGGAACGGCTCATCTATGGGCACTCTCGGAAACCTCACGGGCCCATCAAAGGGGCTCTCTCGGAAGCCCTATGGGCCGCCTTGGGGCAATGTGCGTGTGGCCTCTTGGGTCGTCGTCCTGGACGGTGTTCAGACCAGGGAAGACAGAAATGGGGATGGAGTGAGTCGCGCATGTGGCTGCAGCCGTGAATGCGTGACGACGCAGGCGTACAGGCGTCCAAACCCCGCCCCCCGCTCATTTCGGCATGCCTCGCACATGGATCGTGCCCCATCAAAGGGCACCACGTACGACCCCAGAGACACCGTAAGAAATGCATAATAAGGAACGAAGAGGCGTTTCTGGCCACGGCAAGTCCAGGCCACGAACAAGTTCCACTATATGGCACGACCTGAGCCCAAAGCGATCCTTATTTCAGCGCCCTGACTGCACTCCAGGTAATTATTTGTGGTCTTTTCTGCTAGCCGTGCGCCTATCCCTCCACAATGCATTGGCTATGAGTCACAAAACTGTCGGAAACCTGCTGAGTTACCTTGGGGTGCCTCCCGGGGGCATCTTAGAAGTAGGGTTGAAGCCTTTTGGGGTTTCTTGGGAACCTCGTTGAGACCTCCTTTGGGGGTGGCCTCTTGGGGCCTCTTGGGGGCCTCTTGGGGACCCGTGGGTGGCCTATTGGGTAATCCTGGGGCGGAGGGCTCTGAATGTCAGCTCGGGTTTTGTTTCTCGGCCCCCTTGTTGGGCCCCTCGTCAGGGCCTGTTGGGCAGTCGTCGGACTTCTCGGGCCGTCCTTGAGAGCTCTCGTGGGCCGTCGAGGGGATATCTCGGGAGCCGCATGGGCCTTCTCGGGGCGATGTTTGTGGCCACTCGAGTCGTTATGGATGGACGGCTTTCAGACCAGAAAACGAACATGCTAAAATTGCACATCTTCGAAGTGGGACGAGTTTTGCCTCTGGGAGCCCTCACGGACATCATCTTGGAACGCGCTGGGGGCGTCTCGGAAATCTCTTGGGCCGTCTGAGGCGCCGCGCCAGGTCTGAGACTCATGGGAACTGTCGTGGACGCAACTCGGCGACGTCGCGGGTCGTCACGACTGCTCTCTGACGGTTTCGGAAGCGGTTCTGGGCACCCAGAAATCTGGCCCGGCACTCCGGGGCCCACGTTTGTAGCATGGGTCCCGGCCGGGGGGGGGGCAGGCACAACCCCCCCTGTCACACACGCACACATGCTACGTGCTAGATATAAACGTATATGTAAACACAAGTATATCGATGTATGCATACATACATGCATACATACGTCTATACATATACATGTACATATACATGCATACATGCATCCATACATGCATGCATACGTACATACATACACACAGGTCTGTCTAAGCAGATGCTTATATATAAGCGTATATGTTGTTGTGCCGATGCACATATGAATACAGACTGGTATATACATGTATAAATACAGTGATACATACAGCCAACAACATACACAAGATGCACTGGCGCTTCGCGCCACGCATCTTGGCCCGTCAGGATCGGCGCGCACGCGGCAAGCGGGGCGCGGGAGCGAGAGAGAGAGAGAGAGAACAAGAGAGAGAGAGGGAGAGAGAGAGAGAGCAAAGAGAGAGAGAGAGAGAAACAAAAAAAAAAAAACAATAACGAAGGTTCCTTGTTGCGGTTATCCTCAGCGTTGTTACGAAGCTGTTATAGATCACCTGTCCCTCATGTTTCCTCGTCATTTGTACTCGTCGTCCGCGAAAACGCCCCTGTTGCCATGTTCAGTGTTTATTGCGCGACCTCCTCTTTGGAGGGTTGTCCGGGCATCCCTCGAGGACTGTTTGGGGCTACTGGTGGTATGTGAGTGCCTGATGCGTTATGCTGGAAGGTTTTTGTGATCCTTCCGCGCTTCCCTGGGCGCAGTCCTGAACCTCGCCTTCCAATGTCTGCTATGCAAGGTGCGAAACGTTTAACTTTCCGAAGGCAATCACGTAGGCGATTTGCAAGTGAAGAGCGAAGTACCCTCTTCTGATTGGAGACTCAGACACTGCCACGAGCTTGTTTCTTTATTGGGGGGGGTAACGCCCGTTACGGGGGGGGGGGGGTCTGGCCCCAAGTTGGGGGTAACGGTAACGCGCGGCGGGGCCCTCGCTCGGGCCCTGCTACTTATTACCAGCACAACTGTCGACACGGTAGGCTTCGTCGTCGTCGTCGCGGTCGTCGTCGCCGCTGTCGTCGTCGTCGAAGCCGACGGTGCCTGTGCACACTACACAGGCTCTGTACACCGCGATGCCTATGTACACCACAACTGCGGCAGAAATGGTATGTGTGTGCACCACGGCGACTGAGCACATCATGACAGGCGGGTGCACCACAGCGCCCTTGTACATCTCACTGTTGGTGCACACCACGGCGCCCGCGTGCACCACAGCTGCTGTTTCAACGCCCCGTGTTTGCACCAGAATGCCAGCGTACACCACAAATTTTGTGTACACCTGTAAGGTACCGGCGGAGCGAAAGTCGAGAAGATCGCTCGGGGCCCAACCGTGGCCTTTTCATTATGTGAGCTGCTTGTGGATCTTAGTTTTTCTGGTTCAAAAAGCGCTCGGACCTGTTGAGCCCACAGCGCCTGTGTATTCCATTGCGACTGTGTACACCATGGGAGTGTGAACCGTGGCGCCTGTGCATACCACATGGCACGTCTGCACCACAAAGCTTGTGCACGGTTTTTTTTGCGCAGTCCAGTCCAGCTGGTACAAGGTCTCGCCCAGTCCAGCCCCTCGCACCAGCACAGGGAGAATGGAGGGAGGACAGTGGTAGTAGTCATAATGATATTGTGAGAGTGCACCGGCTGGTTGCGCCATGGCTTGCCCGATGCATTACACCACACGTTGTGATTGCGTACAATTACCTGCGCCATAGGTTGAGCCGTAAGCTGCGCCATAGGATGCGCCCCCAGGGCGTGCCATAGCTTGCGCCATAGGTTGCGCACCCAGGGCGCCCCACAAATCGCGCCGTACGTTGCGCCTTAGGTTGCGCCCTCAGGGCGTGCCATAGGTTGCGTCGATGGTTGCGCCACAGGTTGCGCCAAAGGGATGGTTGCGCCATAGGTTGCGTCGACGGTTGCGCCACAGGGATGATGACGACGACCATTCTGTGGCACCTGTGGCGCGCCACACCGCCGATCAAGTGCTAAAGCGCAGTGCTCGTTGGCACTGCCTGCAAGATTTGGCGGCGAGCCGAGGGGGGAAATGACAGGGGGCGGGCCTTCTGAGAAGGCTCAGAAGGCCTCTGGCCTTCTGAGAAGATGTCCAAGCCTCCCCCGAAGACACGGAGGGCTTCTCTGAAGGCCAGAGGGCTTCTGAGAAGTCCTGCCGCCTTCTGAAAAGGCCTGCCCCCTCTCACTCCCCCCCTGGGCTCGCCGCCGAAAGATATCCACTGGACGTCGCCCATGAAGCAAACAGGTCCCACAAGAGACGGGTTTCGGACCGCACGGGCGGCCCTCGTGGACCAGCCTTTCATCCCAGGTAGTTTTTTGATGGTCCCGGGGCCTGCCATCCTCGTCCTCCTCGTCCTCCTCATCCTCCTCCCCGTCCTCGTCCTCCTCGTCATCCTCATCCTCCTCCTCCTCCTCCTCCTCCCTCTGCCTCGCTCCCCCCCCCAGGAGGTGAGAGGAGGTGGAGGGCACGAGCACTGGAGGGAGTGCAGAAGCAAGGCAAAGGAGGTGGAGGGGCCAGGCCGGAACCCGTTGAAAAGTTCGCGCCGAGGGATGCGAACCTCGAACCTCGAGGATCGAGGCATCCTGGCCCTCGAGGGCCTTCGTCGTCGCCGCGGCTGGACGCGGCTCGGGAAACTGGTGCGTCTGAGCCCCAGTCGGGCCCCGTGGACCCATTTTGAGTTTGCGCCGAGGTTCGAACCTCGAACCTCGAACCTCGAACCTGAGCACGCATGTGAGCGTCACAGCATGCCTGCCTGGACGGAGGGGGGGTCCGCACCCCCGTCCCCGTACGCTCGTTACCGTTACGGGGGGGGGGGGAACCCCCCCCCGTAACAGGCGTTACGGGTCCGAGCAATAAAAAACAAGCTCCACTCGTATGGTAACCAAGTCACACATCATGGGTACGTGAGCTTGTGCAAAGCCATCCGTGTGATAGGAAATCCAGACACAGCCCCATGTGAAGGATTGAGCCTATCGCACGTATCGGGGTCCAACTGACAGGTCCGCATCCGCCGACCCCTTGGGGTCCCAGCTTCTGAGGCAGTCGTGAGCACAGAGGAGGGACGCACGAACGGAGCGGGAGGCGAGTCCCTGTTGTTGAGCGTTTCTGGATCTTCTCGGAGGCTCTTCTGGACCGTCGTGGGGCCCTTTGGGACCGCTTTGGGTCACGCGTGCGCCGTCTCGGGGGGGCTCTGGCCGTGGGGGGGCTCTGCTGGGGGCTTCTTGGGGCTGTCTCGGGGCTTTATTGGGAGCCTCTTGGGGCCGTCTTGGGCCGTCTCGGGGCTCCCTTGAGCTGTTTTGGGGCTATCTTGGGCCATCTTGAGCTCTCTGGGGCTGTCTTGGGGCCCTCTTTGGGCTTTGTGGGGGCCTCTGGGTCTGTTCTGGGGCGATTTGAAAAGCCTCTTTGACTGTTCTGGAGCCTTGGAATACAAAACAATCGAGTATGGCTGAACATATACGTTTTACTCAAGAAATGGAACGATGTTGGCCTGTTTGGCGTTCTCTCGGGGCTCTTCGGGGCTTCTTAGGAGGGCCTCTTGGACCGTCTTGGAGCTACTCGGTGATCTGTTCAAGTGTTTTGGGAGTCTCTTGAGCTATCGTGGAGCCCTCTGAGGCCGTCTTGGAGCGCTCTTGGGCCGTCTTAGAACCGTACAGGACCTGTTTGAGACCGTATTGGGCGCCGGGGGTGGTCGAAATTCGTTCAGTGGGGGGTCCTCGGCCCTGTAAAAATCCAATGAAGATATGTGTGCGTATGGACATACATGCGTATACATGTGTGTATGTGTGTATGTGTGTATGTGTGCATGTGTGTATGTGTATATGTCTATGTGTGTATGTGTGTATGTGTGTATGTGTGTATGTGTGTGTATGTGTGTATGTGTGTATGTGTGTATGCTTATGTGTGTCTGTGTGTATGTGTGTATGTATGTATGTATGTGTGTTTGTGTTTGTGTGTTGTGTGTTGTGTGTGTTGTGTATTGTGTGTGTTGTGTGTTGTGTGTGTGCTGTGTGTTGTGTGTGTTGTGTGTGTTGTGTGTGTGCCGCTGGGCACGGAGCGGGCGTTTCCTCAGGTCCTTTGCCTAATCCCTTAGCCCCCAGTCCTCATTCCTGAAGAGTCTCTAAGGGACCCGGACCCCAAATTGCCAAATCCCTTGGGGCTTACCGCGTTCCCCCTGAGGTTTCCGGCGGCTTGTCGCGTAACTTCTCCGGGCCCAAGAAAGTCCAAAAACGGGCCAAGAGGACTTCAGGAGGCCTCCAAGACAGTCAGCGAGGGCTCCGAATAGCCGAAAGATCACACCAAGACGCCCACGACGGCGTCCAGACGGTCCAAGAAGCCGCAAAGATGATCCAAGAGGCCTCCAAGACGGCTCATAAGAGAATCCCGAGAGGCAAAATTCATAAATTTCCCCTGGGGTTGCTGAAGGATGTTGGGGTTCTCGCCGTTTCGGCTTCCTGACGCTCCCAAGATCACTTCAAGACCTCCCAAGAGGCTCCGAAGAGGACACCAAAACGGCCCAAGGGGGCCCCAAGACGGCCCAAGAGGCCCAAAAGACGGCTCCAAGAGGGGGCCCATATGGGGAACCCGACCGGACATTTCGATCCCTCGGCCCCGAAGGGCCCCCAGGCGGCCCCAAGAAGGCCCCCAAGAGGCCCCCAAGAGGCTCCCAAGAGGCCCCAAAACTGCCCCCAAGAGGCCCCCAAGAGCGCTCCGAAGAGACAGCCTGAAGAATCCCCGAGAACTCTGACCCAAAATCCAGGCACGATGGCGGGATGGGCCGAAGGCAACAGATACACACAGACCTACACGCATGCTAGAAAACAATCAACAGGCACATGCATAGATAATATAACAATATACATAAGAATAACTAGATGCATACATATATAGGTAATTACAGCCATGCATGCATACTGCCAGCCAGCCAGTCAGCCAGTCATACATACATGCATGCATACATGCATCACTACCTACCTACATGCATACATACATGCATACATACATACACATCTACATACATACATACATACATACATACATACATACATACATGCATACATACATACATACATACATACATACATCCAGGCATGCATGCATGCATGCATGCGTGCATACATGCATACAAACATACGTACATGCACACAAACAAACACACATACATACATTCATGCATGCAGCATACATGCATGCATGGCTACATACATGCATGCATACATGCATACATACAAACACACATAAATACGTAGATGCATGCATACATACACACATCCATACAGTCATACATAAATGCATACATACATACGTACAGACAGACAGACAGACATAGACACAATTATACACACATGCATGCATGCATACATACATGCATGCATGCACGCATACACAGATGCGTGCACGCGTGCATGCATACATGCATGCATACATGCATGCATACATGCATGCATACACACGTACGTACATACAGACACACAAACGAACACGCAACGAAATATGCATTCCGCCATGCATACATACACACATACCTGTATGCGCAGCTCACATACATGCAAACATACGTACAATTGTGTATGCATACCTGCATACATATATATATATATATATATATATATGTATACATATATCTATATATATATATATGCACACAACCATACCTACATGCGTGCATGCATACAGACGTACATACGTACACACATTCATGCATGCACATATACAGATATGCATACACACATGCAGATACATACATCCACAGATATAATACAACCACACATACGAACAGGCACGTCTGCAAATGTACATACATACATACATGCACCCACATACAGGGATACATGCACACGTGCATACAGACATGTGTACATACGTCCATACATACTTCATACATGCGCCTACATACATGCATGCATGCATACATACATGCATGCATGCATACATACATTCATATATACATACATCTATGCATACAAACATACACACGCATGCATACATACATACATACATACATACATACATACATACATACATACATACACACATACATACATGCGAGGGCCCCAAGACGGACCAAGATGGCCCAAAGACGGCCGAAAAGGCCCCCAAGGCGGCCCAACAAAGCTCCAGCAGGGCCTCGGGAGGGGCCCGAGAGGGGGTGCACGAAATGACATCTCGAGCCCTCCGCCCTAACATGCCCCCCGAGGCCGCCTGCAGGCTCCCGAGAGGCTCAGACGAAGGCCCAGGAGCTCGAGGAGGCCCAAAAGAGGCCCCAGAAGCCTCCGAGAGGCCCAGCAAACCTGGGCCAAGTTCTGCCGCTCACGCAGAAGGGGCGAACTTGCTGACGAAACGGGGCCAGCTTTCTGGCAAGCTGGTCCAGCGACGCTGGCCCAGATTTTCGGGAGGTTTCTGAATCAGATGCTCGACTGTGCACATACAGTCGGGGCGTTGACCTAAGGAACCCTAAATAAGGAACGAGGCCCCTTTTTTTCGATAAGTTAAATTTCGGTTTCCCATCGAAAACCTAAGGAAGACCTGAGGCAAGCTGTGAAACAATCAAGGAACACCGAGCCCCTCCTCAACGAAAAGGGTTCCTTCTCCAGGCCCCGACTGTATTATCGTAGATGGTTTCCCGAGCGGTACGGCCAGAAAACGCCCGCCACGGAGCTCATATTATCAGATTTCTCAGAGCGCCCCGTCGCCCCTGGGGGGCGACGCCCACATAGAATGAACGTGTCTGGCTGATGCCGGTCAAGCCATGACTCGGCGAAGAAAAACCGCACGGAAGCTCAGTAGCTCGCAGGTGTACCAAGAACCTGTCGCACGGAACCTCGCCAGCTCACGACGCACCGTGCCGGGGCCAGTGCATCGCATGCTCTGGAGCGCGGAGGCATGCGTGGCGCCAAGAAATGAGATTCTCCTTTAAAAGACGCCTCCCAATAAGAGGAGGGAGAGTGGCAGCATGAGCAGGACTTCTGCTCATGTTGCCACCTCAGGGAGATGAAGCGCATCAGCTGGGTCAGAACAGCTAGACCCTCAGTGGCGTATGCAATGAGTCTCTAGAGGTTTCTGCATTGAATTGGATACCACCTGCGCCGCTGCATCGTTGGATGAGCTAGGTTGCATGCTCTACTTGAAAAACACCGTTTCCGACAGCGCTTACTCGAATGCGCCTGTTCACCCGAAGCCAAACTCACCCATCCACCTTGAAGAATTGCTCGCTCCCGACGTCATCGTTAAAATTGGGTGTTGCGGAAGACCGCACTGGACACACCTCGTGCCAGGGCCGACGGCAACGACACAAGATACTCCAACGGGTATTGGACAGGGCTGCAGGGAGGGTGCGGAAGCGGAGGGGGTGTGGGGAGGGGGGAGACTGGAAGATACACGCGTATCCACGACCCCCCTCATGAAGCTCCCGAATCAACGAGGGCACGACATAACCAACAAAATCAACGATGCAAACGATGGCGTCCGCAATCAAGGGACCAGCAAAGTTTCGTTGGAAAAATTGCTTTCCCTCGATGTTTTCTGCAAGGGAAGCCAATCGCATACCAATGTGCGCAATGGTGGGGCTGGCACATAGAACAACGTACACGCAATCAAAATACCAATGCCACGTGTGCTCAGCGCAACTGTGGCTCAATGCTGAGCGAATTAAGCCCGAGGTGCTCATGAAAAATCCACTCAGAGAGATGACGACGCTCCCGAACCATTCGGCGATTTTCCCGAGAACGATGCTTCGATCCTAAGCGACCTGACGCTCAGTATCAGCGAGACTGAAGTCTGACAGCTGCTGCTGGAGTGTTAAGAGATCTTTCTAATGCTACCTGGCAAACGTCATGAGCAGCAGGAAGGGAAACAGGAGAAGGATAGTAAAGAACAAGCAATACACAATTACTCCGACGGAAGGACCACACATGAGAATCCTCTGGGCGAATCTGGAAAAAGCCCTCACCGTCGTCCTCGTGGTTGGTGAGGCGTCCTGGCTGTCTCTTCTGCGTATATTTCTTCTCGCCCTGGCGCGGGCCCTCCCCCCGCTCCCTACGTTGTCCCCGACCTCGCCCTCCTGTTTTGGCTCCGGACATTCAGAAAGAGGCCCGGTAGTGGTGTTCTGGGAACACGAAGAACACGAAGTGGCCTACAGTTGGCTCCGGGCATTCAAAATGTGGCCCGGGATAGTATTCTGGGAGCACGAAGAACACGAAGTGGCCTACAGTTGGCCAGGCATTCAAAATGTGGCTTGGGAATGGCGTTCTGGCAGCGCGAGAGCCCAAAAGTGGCGACAGTTACAGAAATTGGATGACCCGCTCGGATTAGTAACATGATCCGCGGGCCCCATAGGGACGGGGCTCCCGCTTGAGAATTCCTCGCACTCACAAATGTGGCCTGGGAATGGCGTTCTGGCAGCGCGAGAGCCCAAAAGTGGCGACAGATACAGAAATTGGATGACCCGCTCGGATTAGTAGCATGATCCGCGGGCCCCATAAGGAGGGGGCTCCCGCTTGAGACTTCCTCGCAATTCACTCGCAGACGAGGCCCAAGGCGAGTGAGTGAGTGAGTGAGTGACATCATGGGTACGTGAGCTTGTGCAAAGCCATCCGTGTGATAGGAAATCCAGACACAGCCCCATGTGAAGGATTGAGCCTATCGCACGTATCGGGGTCCAACTGACAGGTCCGCATCCGCCGACCCCTTGGGGTCCCAGCTTCTGAGGCAGTCGTGAGCACAGAGGAGGGACGCACGAACGGAGCGGGAGGCGAGTCCCTGTTGTTGAGCGTTTCTGGATCTTCTCGGAGGCTCTTCTGGACCGTCGTGGGGCCCTTTGGGACCGCTTTGGGTCACGCGTGCGCCGTCTCGGGGGGGCTCTGGCCGTCGGGGGGCTCTGCTGGGGGCTTCTTGGGGCTGTCTCGGGGCTTTATTGGGAGCCTCTTGGGGCCGTCTTGGGCCGTCTCGGGGCTCCCTTGAGCTGTTTTGGGGCTATCTTGGGCCATCTTGAGCTCTCTGGGGCTGTCTTGGGGCCCTCTTTGGGCTTTGTGGGGGCCTCTGGGTCTGTTCTGGGGCGATTTGAAAAGCCTCTTTGACTGTTCTGGAGCCTTGGAATACAAAACAATCGAGTATGGCTGAACATATACGTTTTACTCAAGGAATGGAACGATGTTGGCCTGTTTGGCGTTCTCTTGGGGCTCTTCGGGGCTTCTTAGGAGGGCCTCTTGGACCGTCTTGGAGCTACTCGGTGATCTGTTCAAGTGTTTTGGGAGTCTCTTGAGCTATCGTGGAGCCCTCTGAGGCCGTCTTGGAGCGCTCTTGGGCCGTCTTAGAACCGTATAGGACCTGTTTGAGACCGTATTGGGCGCCGGGGGTGGTCGAAATTCGTTCAGTGGGGGGTCCTCGGCCCTGTAAAAATCCAATGAAGATATGTGTGCGTATGGACATACATGCGTATACATGTGTGTATGTGTGTATGTGTGTATGTGTGCATGTGTGTATGTGTATATGTCTATGTGTATGTGTGTATGTGTGTATGTGTATGTGTGTATGTGTGTATGTGTGTATGTGTGTATGCTTATGTGTGTCTGTGTGTATGTGTGTATGTATGTATGTATGTGTGTGTGTGTGTTTGTGTTTGTGTGTGTTGTGTGTTGTGTGTGTTGTGTATTGTGTGTGTTGTGTGTTGTGTGTGTGCTGTGTGTTGTGTGTTGTGTGTGTTGTGTGTGTGTGCCGCTGGGCACGGAGCGGGCGTTTCCTCAGGTCCTTTGCCTAATCCCTTAGCCCCCAGTCCTCATTCCTGAAGAGTCTTTAAGGGACCCGGACCCCAAATTGCCAAATCCCTTGGGGCTTACCGCGTTCCCCCTGAGGTTTCCGGCGGCTTGTCGCGTAACTTCTCCGGGCCCAAGAAAGTCCAAAAACGGGCCAAGAGGACTTCAGGAGGCCTCCAAGACAGTCAGCGAGGGCTCCGAATAGCCGAAAGATCACACCAAGACGCCCACGACGGCGTCCAGACGGTCCAAGAAGCCTCAAAGATGATCCAAGAGGCCTCCAAGACGGCTCATAAGAGAATCCCGAGAGGCAAAATTCATAAATTTCCCCTGGGGTTGCTGAAGGATGTTGGGGTTCTCGCCGTTTCGGCTTCCTGACGCTCCCAAGATCACTTCAAGACCTCCCAAGAGGCTCCGAAGAGGACACCAAAACGGCCCAAGGGGGCCCCAAGACGGCCCAAGAGGCCCAAAAGACGGCTCCAAGAGGGGGCCCATATGGGGAACCCGACCGGACATTTCGATCCCTCGGCCCCGAAGGGCCCCCAGGCGGCCCCAAGAAGGCCCCCAAGAGGCCCCCAAGAGGCTCCCAAGAGGCCCCAAAACTGCCCCCAAGAGGCCCCCAAGAGCGCTCCGAAGAGACAGCCTGAAGAATCCCCGAGAACTCTGACCCAAAATCCAGGCACGATGGCGGGATGGGCCGAAGGCAACAGATACACACAGACCTACACGCATGCTAGAAAACAATCAACAGGCACATGCATAGATAATATAACAATATGCATAAGAATAACTAGATGCATACATATATAGGTAATTACAGCCATGCATGCATACTGCCAGCCAGCCAGTCAGCCAGTCATACATACATGCATGCATACATGCATCACTACCTACCTACATGCATACATACATGCATACATACATACACATCTACATGCATACATACATACATACATACATACATACATACATACATACATACATCCATCCATCCATGCATGCATGCATGCATGCATGCATGCATGCGTGCATACATGCATACAAACATACGTACATGCACACAAACAAACACACATACATACATTCATGCATGCAGCATACATGCATGCATGGCTACATACATGCATGCATACATGCATACATACAAACACACATAAATACGTAGATGCATGCATACATACACACATCCATACAGTCATACATAAATGCATACATACATACGTACAGACAGACAGACAGACAGACATAGACACAATTATACATACATGCATGCATGCATACATACATGCATGCATGCACGCACACACAGATGCGTGCACGCGTGCATGCATACATGCATGCATACATGCATGCATATATGCATGCATACACACGTACGTACATACAGACACATAAACAAACACGCAACGAAATATGCATTCCGTCATGCATACATACACACATACCTTTATGCGCAGCTCACATACATGCACACATACGTACAATTGTGTATGCATACCTGCATACATATATATGTATATATATTCATATCTATATATATATATATATATATATATATATGCACACAACCATACCTACATGCGTGCATGCATACAGACGTACATACGTACACACATTCATGCATGCACATATACAGACATGCATACACACATGCAGATACATACATCCACAGATATAATACAACCACACATACGAATAGGCACGTCTGCAAATGTACATACATACATACATGCACCCACATAAAGGGATACATGCACACGTGCATACATACATGTGTACATACGTCCATACATACTTCATACATGCGCCTACATACATGCATGCATGCATACATACATGCATGCATGCGTACATACATTCATATATACATACATATATGCATACAAACATACACACGCATGCATACATACATACATACATACATACATACATACATACATACATACATACATACATACATACATACATACACACATACATACATGCGAGGGCCCCAAGACGGACCAAGATGGCCCAAAGACGGCCGAAAAGGCCCCCAAGGCGGCCCAACAAAGCTCCAGCAGGGCCTCGGGAGGGGCCCGAGAGGGGGTGCACGAAATGACATCTCGAGCCCTCCGCCCTAACATGCCCCCCGAGGCCGCCTGCAGGCTCCCGAGAGGCTCAGACGAAGGCCCAGGAGCTCGAGGAGGCCCAAAAGAGGCCCCAGAAGCCTCCGAGAGGCCCAGCAAACCTGGGCCAAGTTCTGCCGCTCACGCAGAAGGGGCGAACTTGCTGACGAAACGGGGCCAGCTTTCTGGCAAGCTGGTCCAGCGACGCTGGCCCAGATTTTCGGGAGGTTTCTGAATCAGATGCTCGACTGTGCACATACAGTCGGGGCGTTGACCTAAGGAACCCTAAATAAGGAACGAGGCCCCTTTTTTTCGATAAGTTAAATTTCGGTTTCCCATCGAAAACCTAAGGAAGACCTGAGGCAAGCTGTGAAACAATCAAGGAACACCGAGCCCCTCCTCAACGAAAAGGGTTCCTTCTCCAGGCCCCGACTGTATTATCGTAGATGGTTTCCCGAGCGGTACGGCCAGAAAACGCCCGCCACGGAGCTCATATTATCAGATTTCTCAGAGCGCCCCGTCGCCCCTGGGGGGCGACGCCCACATAGAATGAACGTGTCTGGCTGATGCCGGTCAAGCCATGACTCGGCGAAGAAAAACCGCACGGAAGCTCAGTAGCTCGCAGGTGTACCAAGAACCTGTCGCACGGAACCTCGCCAGCTCACGACGCACCGTGCCGGGGCCAGTGCATCGCATGCTCTGGAGCGCGGAGGCATGCGTGGCGCCAAGAAATGAGATTCTCCTTTAAAAGACGCCTCCCAATAAGAGGAGGGAGAGTGGCAGCATGAGCAGGACTTCTGCTCATGTTGCCACCTCAGGGAGATGAAGCGCATCAGCTGGGTCAGAACAGCTAGACCCTCAGTGGCGTATGCAATGAGTCTCTAGAGGTTTCTGCATTGAATTGGATACCACCTGCGCCGCTGCATCGTTGGATGAGCTAGGTTGCATGCTCTACTTGAAAAACACCGTTTCCGACAGCGCTTACTCGAATGCGCCTGTTCACCCGAAGCCAAACTCACCCATCCACCTTGAAGAATTGCTCGCTCCCGACGTCATCGTTAAAATTGGGTGTTGCGGAAGACCGCACTGGACACACCTCGTGCCAGGGCGGACGGCAACGACACAAGATACTCCAACGGGTATTGGACAGGGCTGCAGGGAGGGTGCGGAAGCGGAGGGGGTGTGGGGAGGGGGGAGACTGGAAGATGCACGCGTATCCACGACCCCCCTCATGAAGCTCCCGAATCAACGAGGGCACGACAGAACCAACAAAATCAACGATGCAAACGATGGCGTCCGCAATCAAGGGACCAGCAAAGTTTCGTTGGAAAAATTGCTTTCCCTCGATGTTTTCTGCAAGGGAAGCCAATCGCATACCAATGTGCGCAATGGTGGGGCTGGCACATAGAACAACGTACACGCAATCAAAATACCAATGCCACGTGTGCTCAGCGCAACTGTGGCTCAATGCTGAGCGAATTAAGCCCGAGGTGCTCATGAACAATCCACTCAGAGAGATGACGACGCTCCCGAACCATTCGGCGATTTTCCCGAGAACGATGCTTCGATCCTAAGCGACCTGACGCTCAGTATCAGCGAGACTGAAGTCTGACAGCTGCTGCTGGAGTGTTAAGAGATCTTTCTAATGCTACCTGGCAAACGTCATGAGCAGCAGGAAGGGAAACAGGAGAAGGATAGTAAAGAACAAGCAATACACAATTACTCCGACGGAAGGACCACACATGAGAATCCTCTGGGCGAATCTGGAAAAAGCCCTCACCGTCGTCCTCGTGGTTGGTGAGGCGTCCTGGCTGTCTCTTCTGCGTATATTTCTTCTCGCCCTGGCGCGGGCCCTCCCCCCGCTCCCTACGTTGTCCCCGACCTCGCCCTCCTGTTTTGGCTCCGGACATTCAGAAAGAGGCCCGGGAGTGGTGTTCTGGGAACACGAAGAACACGAAGTGGCCTACAGTTGGCTCCGGGCATTCAAAATGTGGCCCGGGATAGTGTTCTGGGAGCACGAAGATCACGAAGTGGCCTACAGTTGGCCGGGCATTCAAAATGTGGCTTGGGAATGGCGTTCTGGCAGCGCGAGAGCCCAAAAGTGGCGACAGTTACAGAAATTGGATGACCCGCTCGGATTAGTAACATGATCCGCGGGCCCCATAGGGAGGGGGCTCCCGCTTGAGACTTCCTCGCACTCACAAATGTGGCCTGGGAATGGCGTTCTGGCAGCGCGAGAGCCCAAAAGTGGCGACAGATACAGAAATTGGATGACCCGCTCGGATTAGTAACATGATCCGCGGGCCCCATAAGGAGGGGGCTCCCGCTTGAGACTTCCTCGCAATTCACTCGCAGACGAGGCCCAAGGCGAGTGAGTGAGTGAGTGAGTGACTGACTGACTGGTGATGATGATCATCATCACACTCTCTCACGCGCACACTCATCATCATCATATATGAGTTCATGAGCGTGTGAGTGAGTGAGTGCTGATGAGTCAGGGAGTGAGTGAGTGAGTGAGTGAGTGAGTGAGTGAGTGAGTGAGTGAGTGAGTGAGTCAGTGAGCTAGTGAGTGAGTGAGTGAGTGAGCGCACGAAGACAGAAGAGGAGACGGGGTGAGGTGAGGAGGTTCCTGCGCGGGGTGTCCACAGAGAACAAGAACCCCACTTTGAATGTGAGGAACAAAACATACAGAAGCCGCTGCCACTCCCCAGCGCTGAGAATCTACTTGGCGTGTTGAATGGAATACGCGCAGTACACCAGATATGGAAAAATCAGCTGAGCAAATGTGGCACAACCACAAGAAGCAACAGCAAACACGGACACCTTCAGCGGTCGTATCAGCACGCGCTCATAGCTGCTTTCGTTGACGTGTGAGAACGCGGCAAAATCATACATGCACCACAGCCTCGTCAAATACTCCGGTTGCCAAAGCACAAGAAGGCCTTCGGAGTTGCGCAGAAAGACCCCGAGTTGCTTGATCCCTCACGCCTTCTTGGTAGAGTCTGTCTGGTTGATGCAGCACTTGTCCAGAAGGCGAAGACTCCCCCACACAGGAATGGTCTGCCCCAATCGCATCGCCAAGAAGAATATTAGGCTGGAAACTACCCAGTGCGCCTCCAATACCCTCACACTGATACGTTGACCATCCACGATGTGAAGAATGCATGGTGGGAGAAATTGGAAATCCCACAATCCTGAAGACTGCAGACCTCTCATCACGATTTGCGTCGCAACGGCAGCGACCACGGCGCGGCCCGCGTTCATCTCGTACATGAGGCAAACAATCTTCAACCACGCGGGCGTCTGCCAAGAATGGCTCACGAAGTAGTGCAATGCACGTCACTGGCCTGGACAGCGAGAACGCTGCCTCGGACCCATCACCCGACAATGGCTAAGGCTGGCACGGCGCGCTGGAGTTCATTGTTGTGAACTGCCAGGGAGCAGTCCATCTCCAACTGGCTCTCTTCGGTATCCGTGCGACCGACCTTCCTCAAGAATTCAGCTTGCGGGCTGGAGCGGGCTTACCCATGGTTGGGTCGATGACTCCGACGCACGTGTGACAGTTAGATAGACCAAATGCTTCTGGTGCTCACGGCCCTGGACTGGCCGAATCTGCTCATGATGTGCTCCACTTCCGGCTCATCCGCCGCAGCCTCAGGGAAACCAAATGGTACCAATGCCGCTACTCCCCAGACCTCTCCAGGGGTGCGTTCTGACTAGGATTTCAAGGCGAATCCAACAGTGGCGACGAGGGCCTCCCGAGAGGCCCAACACGGCGAGAACGAGGCAAGCATAGCGGTATGGTTGTGGATGCCATGACAATGGACAACCTAACAATCCGATCATTGAACTAAAAATGGGCTCAGAATGTGTAAGACATGTCCTACAGATGTTTCAAACATGCTTTTACATGTTTAAAACATGTTTGAAGCATGTTTGAGACACCTGGAACTTGTTTGGCAACAGGCTTCCTCTCCATTAACCGACGTCCACAACGGTATGGGTACCTTCCCGCTCTGAGGCCTCTGGATCCACCACGGGCCGGGTGGTGGCCGGCGGCAACGGCGGCGGCCCGCGGCGGCCGCGGCCTCTCGGCGGAAGCCTGCCGAACACAGCGAGTCGCCCGAGCAGCGCCGGGCGGCGCAGGGGCGAGCCCCCGACGCACACACCGCCCGCAGCGCGGCGGTGTGGCGCGTCCATTGTCGAGGCCGCAAGGTCCAGCTCTGTCCGTAGACGAGCGCGTTCCACTGCTCGCAAAGGAACTACTCGCAGATGGCCTGGAGACGCCGCGGGGGGGCTACGATGAATTACATCACATCCGACACGTGTTCTTCGACCGTTTGCGAGTAGTGGGACGCGCTCGGCGAGTCCAGGGGACCCTGTGCCAGAAACACCAGCCCAAGAGGATTGAGCGGGCGTCGGCCAGGAGGCTTGAGCTGAATGTGGCGAGCAGGGTGCGAGAGGAAACTTCTGGAGGAGCAGTAGCCTGATCGGCGGCGACGACCACGGCGGGCACACCACCCCTGCTGCGCACCCCTGCGCCCCAACTCCATCCGCAAGTCCTCCAAGTCCTCCGTACTGCTCGGCCAGTGCCACCACTCTCGTGCTTCACATGATTCGGCCTCAGCGTCCTCCGCGTGACTCGGCCCCGTTCGTGCACACCCCCGCGCGCGCGTTGCTTCGCGCGCTCTGAGGCTCCAGCACTGGGCGGACCGACATCACGAGACAGCGGGTGCACGTGCCCTCGCCTCGCAGAACGTGGGCTGCTTGCGCTGTGCCTTGACCCTCCCGGGGTCGCCAGCTTCTCCCACGCCCGTCCCCTTCTCCTCTTCCATCTCCTTCTCTCGCTCCCCACTCCCCGTTCTCCTCAGCGCGGCGCTCAGCATCGGGCAGTCCCCCTCCGGTCGGCTGGGAAGCTGGCAATCTCAATCCGAGCTCCTCGTGGGCTCTGGGGGGGGGGGGCCCTCTCGAGGGCGGCCACCCGTGCCCTGCTCCTCCGGACCATCCGCTGCGGCAGCCTCCCTGTCGGCACGGCAGCCGATACCGTCACGCTCACACAGCGGGTGCATGCCGGGACGACGCCGAAGTTGGCTTCTGACGCCGCGCGGATGGCTCAGCCTTGCACGACCACGGCTTTCCGACAGCGCAAGTCGTTCGACATCCGCCGATTCAGCGCCGCCTGGCGGCGTTTCCACCCTGAACGACCACGGCGGGGTCGCCGCCGCGCGAGAGGGCACGGGCCCCTCTCGACGTCGCCCTCCCCCACCGCCCACCAGGCCGCTCCCGGGGCGCGCGCTGGCAAGAATCTGGACGACGACGACGACGACGACCGCGGATTCCTAAATCCGCCGAGTCGGCCCATGGCCTCCACACACATCAGGAACGACGACGACGACGACGACGACGACGACGACGACGACGACGACGACGACGGCGGCGCCTTCCAGTACATTCCGACCACCGGCTGCTGTTCTTCCTTGCGGTAAGGGTCGGCGAAGTTGCCGTACAGCTTCACTAGCACCCGGTCGTCGCCCCCCTGGCCTGAAGGCCAGGCTGGGTAGGACCAGGTGGAGGCAGGAGGAGGCAGCAGGAGGAGGAGGAGGAGGAGGAGGAGTAGGAGGCACACACAGCGTTGCAGCAGGAAGAGGGGGACGAGCCTCCCTGAGGGGGAGAAATACATGATGCAGGGTCGATGGCCGCGGCCCCCCCCCCCCCTCCGGGCTGGAGTCCGAGGGTGGTTCTACTGGCCCCCCCACACCCCAAATAGCGAGGAGGAGGAGGGAAAGAGGAGTAGGAGGAGGAGGAGGAGGCGGAGGAGGAGGAGGAGTTGAGGAGGAGGAGGAGGCGGAGGAGGACGACGACGACCTCTGGACCTCTGGAGCTCTGCACTCCAGCTGGCCCAGCACCACACCACACACCTGCAGGGGGAGGCCGCCGCCGCACGAAGGGGCGAGGGATCGAGGGCAGCCCTCTCTGGAGACCGGGAGGCAAAAGAGGAGGAACAAGAGGAGGAAAGAGAGGAGGAAAGACAGGAGGAACGAGAAGAGAAAAGAGGAGGCAGAAGAGAAGGAAAAAGACGGGAGAGAGAGAGAGAGGAGAGAGAGAGGGCAGCATCTCGACAGCTCCAAGAGAGGAGTTGAGGACCAGAGGCAGCCAGAGCGGGAGCCACGCGGAGGCAGAGAGGATCTGGGCAGCGCCTCCTCCTCCTCCTCCTCCTCCACTTCCTCTTTCTCCTCCTCCTCCTCCTCCTCCTCCTCCTCCTCCCTCCTACTCCTCCTCTTTCTCCTCCTCCTCCTCCTCCTCCTCCTCCTCCTCACATCATCATCACATCATCCATCATCACATCATCACATCACATCATCATCAATCATCATCATCAGCATCAGCATCAGGCATCATCATCATCATCATCATCTCATCTTCATCATCATCATCATCATCATCATCATCTCATCACATCATATCATCATCATCATCATCATCATCATCATAGCTCGTCTCTTCTTCCTCCGTCTCTCTTTCTTCCTGTTCCTCCTCCTTCTCCTCCTCCTCCTCTTCCTCCTCCTCCTCCTCCTCCTCCTCCTCCTCCTCCTCCTCCTCCTGCCGCCTCCTCCTCCTCCTCCTCCTCCTCCTCCTCCTCCGCCCCTTCCTCCTCCTCCTCCTCCTCCTCCTCCTCCTCCTCCTCCTCCTCCTCCTCCTCCTCCTCCTCGCCCTCCCCCCGCCTCCGCTTCGTCCGCCTCTCCCTCACGGGGCAGGAGGCGGGGACCCAAAGGGCCGGGGGCCCATGGCGCATGGCGTGCCCCCCATATAGGCGCCTGGCGTCCAGTCCTCCGCGACCGTGGCCGGAATCCAGCCCGTGGACAAGCCTACGACCATGGACTCCTCGCCGCACATCGGCCAGAGGAGGGGGGATCCAGACCCCCTCGCTTTGCGGAAAACAAAAAAACACGACGGGAGGTGTTTCTCGGGACCGTCAAAAACGACTCATGATGAAAAGCGGGTCATGGGGGATGGGTCGAGGCCTGTGGCGGTCGAAATCATGAAAAAAACAGATAAACAAAAACACCATGACGTCGGGGGTCTGGGGAGGGGGGGAGGAGGGGGGGAGGGATGACCGAGGTTCGAGGTTCGAGGCTCTTGGGCGTTGTTCGCCGTTCTGGGGCCTCTGGGAGGCGTCTTGCCGCTGCGGCTGGATTCCCCCTGGGGAGCTCGTCAGAACGCGTCTCTCGAGTTGGTTTTCGGCACAAAAGCTCGGAGCCTTCTCGCGTCTTGGGAAGGATGCAGCGGGAAGCGCACGGGACCATCGCGCCCACGCGCTTCGCCATTCAAGCCGGCCCCGTGGAGCGCGCGATAGTCCCACGGGCGTCGCTAGGAAACACGACGGAGCAGCGTGTTGGAAATGATGTTAGGAAGCACCCGCACGCGTTTCTGATCTTCGGCTCGGGTCCAAGACGCGGTCGGGGCAGCCGGGGGACGCACCGCGGCCTGGCCAGGCAGAGAAGGAGAAGCAGTGGCGAGGAGGGAGGCCGCGGGCGGCGAGAGGGGCCGCTGAGACACTCGTGGCAGCAGTGCTGTCCTTCTACCTCCCCGAGCACAGCCCCCTCCATTGGCCTCCGGGCGTCGCGGCGAAGGCGCGGCGGCGAAGGCTGGAGTCCCGCCCTTGGTGCCCCAGGGCGGGCCGAAGACGGCCTGGGATGAGAGAGCAGGCCTCCTCCTCCTACTCCTACTCCTACTCCTACTCCTACTCCTACTCCTACTCCACTCCTATCCTTATTCCTTATTAGAATATACTCCTACTCCCCCCTCAGGCCGGCCGATAGGGGCCGCATCCGGGTGGTCCCATCCTAACCTGTAAAAAACAATACAAAATCAACATTTTTCTTATTTTTTCCTCTCGACATGGACGTCCTGTCGTCCACGGCGATAATCCATTGCAAAAATACCACAAAGAGCACACGCGCGCGTTCATGTCAGAATCCTACCGAACACCGTGTGTTTGCAAGCATTTCAACATAAAAACATCAAACACCCAATGCTTTTTCACAACAAATTCTACAAATTTCCTGCCCGGGCTCTCTTGCTGAAATCATAGGAAAACCATAGGAATCTTAAGAATTCGGTCAAATCCAGCGATTTCACGTCATCGCGCGGTGCACTCGCGATGCTCTGTCATGCACCCAGGCCGCGAATCCTGTGCAAAAAATACCTCGCGGGCGACATGCGCGCGCGTCGCCGCGAGCGCATGCTCAAATTCTTTTAGAGTCGTCGCCGTCATTGGCACCGTCGCATGGACGTCCTGTCGTCCACGTCGCAAAATGCATGGCAGGAATGGGACGCGGCGCACACCCCGCGCCCGCCCATCCAATCCGTCCCATGCTAATCTGCAGAAGACAATACACAGTTTTGTTTTTCTTGTCAACATGGTCGTGCTGTCGTCACGTCGCAAAATGCGTGGCAGGAATGGGACGCGGCGCACACCCCGCGCGAAGGGGTGACATGGTACTACTACTACCACTACCACTACCAACACCACTACCACTGGTACTACTACTCCTGCCTCTTGGGGCCTCCTGGGCCCCCTTGGGGTGTCCTGTCAGACCGTCGGGCTTCCTCCGGCCACCTCTGGCTTCCTGCGGTGTACCGGGCCATTCTCGACTCGTCTGGCAATGCGTGCGCGGCATTCAACACGCGCTCGCCAGTTCCGTCGGCAACCGCCATCGCGGCCGCATCAGCTGTACCAAACCGGCTGGCCGGTGTGACTTCGGCCCCCAGTTGTGCCAGCTTTGCTTCTTATGTTGTGGGAGGGCGGGTGGGACTGGGCATGCCATGCTTGACTCGCTTCGACTGGCTACTTGACTCCCTATCCTTATTCCTTATTAGAATATACTCCTACTCCCCCCTCAGGCCGGCAGATAGCGGGCGCATCCGGGTGGTCCCATCCTAACCTGTAAAAAACAATACAAAATCAACATTTTTCTTATTTTTTCCTCTCGACATGGACGTCCTGTCGTCCACGGCGATAATCCATTGCAAAAAATACCACAAAGAGCACACGCGCGCGTTCATGTCAGAATCCTACCGAACACAGTGTGTGTTGCAAGCATTTCAACATAAAAACATCAAAAACCCAATGCTTTTTCACAAAAACTGTACAAATTTCCCGCCCGGGCTCTCTTGCTGAAATCATAGGAAAACCATAGGAATCTTAAGAATTCGGTCAAATCCAGCGATTTCACGTCATCGCGCGGTGCACTCGCGATGCTCTGTCATGCACCCAGGCCGCGAATCCTGTGCAACAAATACCACAAAGAGCACACTCGCGCGTTCATGTCAGAATCCTACCGAACACCGTGTGTTTGCAAGCATTTCAACATAAAAACATCAAAAACCCAATGCTTTTTCACAAAATGCTTTGGGGTGTCCTGTCAGACCGTCGGGCTTCCTCCGGCCACCTCTGGCTTCCTGCGGTGTACCGGGCCATTCTCGACTCGTCTGGCAATGCGCGCGCGGCATTCAACATGCGCTCGCCAGTTCCCGTCGGCAACCGCCATCGCGGCCGCATCAGCTGTACCAAACCGGCTGGCCGGTGTGACTTCGGCCCCCAGTTGTGCCAGCTTTGCTTCTTATGTTGTGGGAGGGCGGGCGGGACTGGGCATGCCATGCTTGGCTCGCTCGAACTGGCTAGCTTGACTCCTACTCCTACTCCTA